CACCTACCGTTGGCTCGGCCGCATCCTGAGGCTGAGGAGGAGGAAGGCGGCACTGGTGAACAAAAATCACGGTGGTTGTGGAGCAGGGGCGTACTGCCGCAGTGCGCGTACGGCCCCCAGGTGTTCGGCCTGGCCCCCAGCAGCACAGATCGCCAAGCTACGGTGCCAAGCCAATCAGGTGCTTGGGGGGGCTAGCGGAGGCGGTGCTTGACTTCTACTCTGGCGGCCACCATGGACCTGCGGTACCCGCGTGGGTTAGCTGCGGCGCCGGGTCGTGGGCGAATGCCTGGCGATGTGGATGGCTGGTCCTGCCCTGCATGCTCGCGTGCGTCGGGCTTGGCCGTGCGTCCGTCGTGCCCTCGCTAGAGCAGGTGATTATCGGTGGCGGCGGGTGCGCGGGCCGATCGGCGCTGTCCAAACGACCCTGCTTGATGTGGGCTGGGACCCGGTGGATACCATCAAGTGAGGCACTGGCTTACGGCGACGGGTTACGACGAGTGGGCGTTTCCGATGAAGGATGACGAGGGCTGCGCCACGTGCGCGGAGCACCGGACCTTGTTGGACGACTTGGTCCGCGACCTCCGCGCGCGGTGGCGGGGCCCCGCGGGCTTGCACGAGGCCAGTGACGGACTGCAGCACGGTGGCGACTGCTGGCACGTCGGCCAAGGACTCTGGATGCTCGAGAAGGCCGGCGACTGGTCCTCGCGGGGCCTCCCGCTGACGGCCGCGGTCGGCGTGCAGTGGCCGCGCGAGAGGAATGGTTGCGCGGGGTCCGCCTTGCGCAGCGATGTGCGCAGGCGGCGCGGGCGCGTGCTCGAAGACCTGATGCATCGCACATGGCTGTGCGACGACAGCAGAGGCGAGGCCGCCTTTGAGCTGTCGCCGGCGCTCGTGCCGCAGGCGGTGGCCGATTTTGAGGCCGAGCCTGCCCTGTGGCCCCGCGGAGGTGCCCCAGCTGCTCCCACGACGCCCCGCCTTGACAGGGGGGCGCGCCCGCCGTGCACTGCAGCGCGGTCGGCCTCTGCCGGGAGGGGGGCGCGGTGGCTGCTTCCGGGGATGCGTCGGGCGGGGAGCTCTCGTCGGACCCGCGGAGGCGGCGCTGTGAAGCAGCCGTCGCCGCGCTGGCTCGAGCGCGGCGGGCCGCGCTGCCCCGCTCGTCGGCCCGCGGCAGGCCGTGCCGAGGGCAGAAGTTGCAGCACTCGCTCCGGCTCTCGAGTCGACCCTTGCCGTCGCTCGAACGTCCGCTCCCTGTACTTTTGTCGGCTTCGTGCATGGTTTTGTTCGCCAGATGGTCGAGGATGCTCCTCGAAGGTCCTCGCCGAAGAAGGAAATGCACACATCCGAGCGATGCCGAGGACCTCGGGCGTGGTTTTGTTCGCCAGATGGTCGAAGATGCTCCTCGAAGGCCCTCGCCGAGGACGGAAATGCACACGTCCGAGCGATGCCAAAGGCCTCGGGAGATCTGCCCTTCGTGGCGGACCACGAGCCGCTGCACAGAGTCTGGCGCACGCGCCTCGCGGAGCCAAGCCGGCGGGAGGCCTGGGGGCCAGAGGCGTGCTCAGATCTCCGGCAACTGGTCCACAGAATGCATGCATATTCTAGTTTGCGCGCGCGGGGCGGCCCCTGGGGGTCCTCAGACGAAAAATACCCCGGCCGACTCCCGGCAAGGTCTGCTCAAGGATGCTGGAACTCCCAGGGGCGGTTTCCAGGCCCTCCAGATCACCCCAGGAGCGGCCCAAGGAATCTCAAGGCAGCTCCAAAGGAGCCCACGAATCAGAATCACGGCCCAAGAACGCCCCAAGACGCTGGGGCCCAAGATGGCCCCAAGACGGCCCAAGAGGCCCCAAAGAAGCCCCAAGAGCGCTCCAGGAGGACCCCAAAGAGGGCCAAAAGAAGCAACCATCATTTACTTGTCTTGTGTTTCTATGTTTTTCGCATTCTCGCGTTTTCGGGCTTTCGAAGCTCCAAGATGGCCACAGAGGCCCCCAAGACCGCTACAAGACAGCCCGAGAGGCCACCGAGAGGGCCCCAAGACGGTCCAATAGGGCCCCCAAACGGCCCCACGGGCACCCAAGGTCGCCCAACAGGGCCCCAGGACTGCCCCAAGAGGGGGAACACGAACTACCAATTCGAGCCTTCCGCCCCAAGAGGCCCCCAGGAGGCCCCAAGCGGCCCCCAAGAGAGCCCAGGAGGCCCCCTGGAGGCCGTCAAGAGGCCCAAAAAGAGCCCCCAAGAGGCCCCCAAACGACTCCCTGAAGGCCCCAACAGGCCACGAACGCGCAAGCAAACGCCTGCGATGGCACAATACTATTGATTTTTTCCCTAACAGAAATAATTCGCTGAGCAATTAATGCTGCAGCTGTACTGTAGGGTGCTACAGTAAATAATTCGCTGAGCAATTCGCGCGGCGTTTTTTTCTGTTTTTTACGACGCCGGGAGGTCTGGGCCAGGAAGGAAAAAGGAGTTAGAAAGGAATGTGATAAGGGATTTCAGAAGTTAGAAAGGAATTCAGTTTGTTTGCGTTATTTTTTTTTTGTTTTTTACGACGCCGAGAGGTCTGGGCCGGGGAAGAAAAAGGAGTTAGAAAGGAATTTAATAAGGAATATCAAGAGTTAGAAAGGGATTTCGTTGTTGGGGTTGTTTTTTTGTTTTTTTTAACGACGCCGAGATGTCTGGGCCAGGAAGGAAAAAAAGGAGTTAGAAAGGAAATTGATAAGGAATTTCCAGAGTTAGAAGGGAATTTCGTTTTGGGTGTTGTTTTTAAACAAAAAAGAAACGACGCCGGGAGGTCTGGGCCAGGAAGGAAAAAGGAGTTAGAAATGAATTTAATAAGGAATTTCAAGAGTTAGAAAGGAATTTCGTTTTTGGTGGTGTTTTTTGTTTTGTTTTTTACGACGCCGAGAGGTCTGGGCCAGGAAGGAAAAAGGAGTTAGAAAGGAATTTAATAAGGAATTTCAAGAGTTAGAAAGGAATTTCGTTTTTTGGAAATTGTTTTTTGTTTTGTTTTTTTACGACGCCGAGAGGTCTGGGCCAGGAAAGAAAAAGGAGTTAGAAAGGAATTTAATAAGGAATATCAAGAGTTAGAAAGGAATTTCGCTTTTTTGATTATTTTTTCTTTATATATATATATGTATATATATATATATATATATTACAAAAAAAAAAAGGAAAAAGAAAAAATTTAATAAGGAATTTCAAGAGTTAGAAAGAAATTCATTTTTGGTGGCTGTTTTTTGTTTTGTTTTTTTTACGACGCCGGGAGGTCAGGGCCAGGAAGGAAAAAAGGAGTTAGAAAGGAATTTATCAAGGAATTTCAAGAGTTAGAAAGAAATTTTGTTTTTTGGGTTGTTTTTTGTTTCATTTTTTACGACGCCGAGAGGTTTGGGCCAGGCAGGAAAAAGGAGTTAGAAAGGAATTTAATACAGGAATTTCAAGAGTTAGAAAGGAATTTCGTTTTTGGTGGTGGTTTTTGTTTTGTTTTTTACGACGCCGAGAGGTCTGGGCCAGGAAGGAAAAAGGAGTTAGAAAGGAATTTAATAAGGATTTCAAGAGTTAGAAAGGAATTTCGTTTTTTGGAAATTGTTTTTGTTTTGTTTTTTTTTACGACGCCGAGAGGTCTGGGCCAGGAAAGAAAAAGGAGTTAGAAAGGAATTTAATAAGGAATATCAAGAGTTAGAAAGGAATTTCGCTTTTTTGGATTATGTTTGTTTTGTTTTCTAAAAACGACACCGAGGTCTGGGCCAGGAAGGAAAAAAGGAGTTAGAAAGGAATTTAATAAGGAATTTCAAGAGATATAACGGAATTTCGTTGTTGGGTCGTTTTTTTTTTTTTTTTTTTTTTTTTTTTACGACGCCAGGAGGTCTGGGCCGGGGAAGAAAAAGGAGTTAGAAAGGAATTTAATAAGGAATTTCAAGAGTTAGAAAGGAATTTCGCCGTCGCGGTCGTTTTTTGTTTTTTTACGACGCCGAGAGGTCTGGGCCAGGAAGGAAACATGAATTAGAAGGGAATTTACTAAGGAATTTCAAGAGTTAGAAAGGAATTTCGTTTTTTGGGGCTGTTTTCTGTTTATTTACGCGCCGAAAGGTCTGGGCCAGGAAGGAAAAAAGGAGTTAGAAAGGAATTTAATAAGGAATTTCCAGAGTTAAAAAGAAATTTCGTTTTTGGTGATTTTTTTTTTTTTTTTTCACGACGCCGAGAGGTCTGGGCCAGGAAGGAAAAAGGAGTTAGAAAGGAATGTAATAAGGAATTTCAAGAGTCAGGAAGGAATTTAGTTTTTGGTAGTTGGTTTCCTTTCTAACTCTTGAATTTCCTTATTGAATTCCTTTCTAACTCCTTTTTCCTTCCTGACCCAGACCTCTCGGCGTCGTAAATAAAACACAAAACAAAACAACAACACAGACAAAACAACAAAATTCCTTTCTAACCCTTGAAATTCCTAATTAAATTCCTTTCTAACTCCTTTTTCCGTCCTGGCCCAAACCTCTCGGCGTCGTAAACAAAAAACGAAACGAAAAAACAACCCCAAAAAACGAAATTCCTTTCTAACTCTTGAAATTCCTTATTAAATCCCTTTCTAACTCATTTTTCCTTCCTGGTCCAGACCTCTCGGCGTCTTAAAAAAGCAAAAAAAAAAACAACCCCCAAAACGAAATTCCTTGCTTGCTAACCCTTGAATTTCCTTATCACATTCCTTTCTAACTCGTTTTTTCCTTCCTGGCTCAGACCCCTCGGCGTCGTAAAAAAACAACCCAAAAAACAAAATTCCTTTCTAACTCTTGAATTTCCTTATCGAATTCCTTTCTAACTCCTTTTTCCCTTCCTGGCCCTGGCTTCCTCGGGCAATTCGGACTCGATTGTCTGTGAGGTTCAGAACTATCTCTGGCATTCAAATTCCTTTCTAACTCAGGTAATTCCTTATCGAATTCCTTTCTAACTTCCCAACTCAATAGAAATGCATAACCAAAATGCTCTTGGCAATATTTCGAGCCTACATTATTAATTCCCGACACAGTTATTGATGTAATCGCATACAGTGCGCACTACAGAAATAATTCCGAAACCAATTTCAGCTGCACTGTAACCAAAAAAAATCAATAGTACGGGCCAGCGGAACCAGCGAAGCGATCGAATAAGGACTTGTGGCAGCGCGCTCGTGCGGCTTGCTCCTCCAAGGGCGAAGGTGAGATCCAGGTGGAGTGGGTGGCCTCGCGCGCCGACGAACGTGCCCACTCGTGCGGCGCCGCGCGACGAAGGCGCTCGGGCGCGCGCCCGAGGCCGACGCTGAGCTTGGGGCCCGCCCGCCAGGCGCCTGCCGGCCGCCTCGCGCTCCTGCCCGACTGGTCGCGCAGTCGTCGGCGCATCAGCTGGTCAGGCGCGGCGGCGGATGGACTTGCCGACGGTGCCATCGTTGGTGCGGCCGCGCTGCTCTCCGCCGTTTTGCGCGCCACCGTTCCTGGCGCCGCCGGTCGACGCCAGCAGCTTGGCGGCGGCTGCCAGCGGCGACGGTCCTGATCCGGTCCCTGTGACGACCGCGCAGAGCGGGGAATGATGATAATGATGATGATGATGATGATGATGATGATGATGATGATGATGATGATGGTAATAATAATAATAATAATAATAATAATAATAATAATAATAATAATAATAATAATAATAATAATAATAATAAAAATAATAATAATAATAATAATGATGATGATGATGATGATGCTGATGCTGATGATGCTGATGCTGCTGCTGCTGATGCTGATGATGATGACGATGACGATGACGATGACGATGATGATGACGATGACGATGACGATGATGATGATGATGATGATGGATGATGATGATGATGACGATGACGATGACGATGACGATGACGATGACGATGATGATGATGATGATGATGATGATGATGATGATGATGATGATGATGATGATGATGATGATGATGATGATGATGATGATGATGATGCAGGCGCACACCTCGCATGTGTTGGCGTTCTGGCCTGAGTTCTGCTCGACCTTCTCTCCTCGGCGTGCCACGTTCACCGCCGAGGACCCGAAGCCCCCCCGAAAGAGTGCCCAGGCCCGACTCGGAGGGGCGCCGAGAATTTGCGGAGAAGTCGAAACATGGTCGACCCACGAACCCGGAGAGGCACATAGAAGTGTGAAACATGGAGATTCTACGAAACACCCAACAACTGCAATGATCAAGGTAGTGCTGGTGATGTACCGTGCCAGGGGATGTGTTGTGCTGTGCTGTGGTGAATTGGTCTGTGCCATGCCGCGTTGAACTGCTGTACTTTATTGCGTTGTGGATCAGGTCGCTCTTGGCAGCAGAACCCTGACCGAACTGATCAGGATCTTGCGTTCGAGCTGCTTGGACGCATGTCTCGAGCTGGTCGCAATCGAACCGCGCGGGGCGCTCGACCATCTCGAGCTCGAGATCTGATTCAGTTCCGCAACGGGACGAGCCAAGAGGGTGCGACTCCGAACCGACGCGAAACGCACCGAGAGCGGGCCGAAGATACGAACCGAGACGAAGGCTCAACTGACCCGAACCGAAGCGAGACAAAACGAACCAAGACAAAGATGCCTCGGCTCGACGTCCTGAAACTGCACAGCGTCGCCCGACGAGGGAGGCGGGCCTCGAGGTGCCAGGGCCCCCAGGACCGCGGCGCGGCGCAGAATGTAATGTGTCCACGTGCTGTGCTGCACTGTGCTGCGTCGCGGCTGTGCTGAACTGCGCTGCTCTCTGCTGCGTTGTGGATGAGGCCATCCCTGGCGCTGGAGGGTGGGCGGCGCGGGAGCGGAGGCCTCGCTCGTGGCGGTGCTCGTTGCGCACGGGGAACGAACTCGGCGCCTATGGTGTAGATGGCTTCTGAAAGCGGTGATCACCTATTCTGCGCGCCCTCCTGCCGTCATCGATCAGTGAAGGGGCCCTGGGACACGCAGAGAAATAGATGTAAATCCCAGGATTCCCCATACGTTCCCATATTTTCTGGGTCTTCGTCTTCCCGCCAGTTTTCCTATATTTTCCTGGGAGTCGACGATTACTTGTGTCTGTGTGTTTTGAATCAGCCTGGGCCGCAACCCCTTGATGAGGAAACGGAAGATTACCTTCGACTGCCCGGTACCGAACTTCTTGCCAATAGCCGATGATGTGACAAACTCCTGGGTGAAAGTCCTGTCGAATCCCTGCCGTGTCAAGTCGGAGATATCCTGGGCATCCCGTGGTCGACCTGATGCAAGCAGCTCGGCTAGCTCGTCCTCCGCTGGCTTACCAGAAAACTCGGGATCGATATCTTCCAACTCCGGTGCTTGGATTGGCCTGAAGATGCCCGAAAAACCGATGGGATCGGCAATGGAGAAGCCGCTGATGTAACCCTATGCTTGGGCACGGTCGGACCATCGAAGCACTGCCGCAAAGAAGGCGACGCCCGCCGCGTGTCTCGACGCCGCCACAGCTCTGAGCTCTGGCGGTCAGGCTGCGGCGCCCGGCTGGGGCGCCAGAGGTCTGGACCCCTTCCCCGGGACCGGTCCTTCGTCCCGAGTCGTTTTTTGACGCTCCCGAGGCCCGGAGAGGGCCCCCGGAGGCCGAACATCGCGAAAAACCTCCCGTCGCGATTTCTTTCACGACGCGCGGAGGTCTGGGGCGGGGGGCGTGCCAGGAGTGGGGCCCCGCTCGCCCGGAGGAGGCCGCCTCCGCTGCTGGCCTCTCCGGGGCAGGCCCGCGGCCTCCTGCGCGGCCACGGGAGGCCTCCCCGTCCCCGGAGGCGGCCGGGCCCGCTGCGGCTGCTGCTGCGCCCTGAGGCGGGGTTCGGCGGGTGCCACGATTCCCGCGTGGAGGTGCGCCATGGTGCTCGCTGGTCCTCCGCGGTCAGGCGCGGGTCGAAAATCTGCTTGCACCAAGGAGCGAGCCTATTGCCCGCGGAAGCGGCGTCTGTCCTGTGTGAAGGTGCGCATGCCTGGTGCTCGCTGGTCCTCCGCGGTCAGGCGCGGGTCGAAAATCTGCTTGCACCAAGGAGCGAGCGCTATGGCCCGCGGGAGCGGCTTCTGTCCTGTCGCCTGCAGCTGGAGTCTCACTCCTCCCCGGCCTTGGGCAACCGTTGTGACCAGGGAGCCACGTGGCAGCGCGAGGGCACTGCGGCTGTGGAAGCCGCCATGTTGACCCCGGGTCCAGAACAATCGCCTCGTCGACACCCAACCCCACACCTTGGCATCGATGTGGATCGGCGCCGCGCCCACCAGCTGCGAGTAGCCGGAGACGACGGCCTTGGAGGCGCCAGCCGCGCACTCCAGGAAGGAGATCGGTATCTGCTTGTCCGTTGCGGCCTCCAGCTTTTGGGCGAGCCTGCGGAGCTGCCATGCACGCTTGGCGCTGGAGTCGGCCTGGCTTGGGACGCACCCCAGCAATCGAGATCCAAGCGAACTCCCTTCGTCGCATGACAGCTCATCGCCGCCACCTCTTCGATCCTGCTCGTCCCTACGATGTTGGGCCAGACTGTTCTGACAGCCGCCCTGAACGGAGACACGGACAAGCAAATCAAGCGAGCACCCAAGGCTCTATCAATGCAACCTCCAGGCCAGCAAGACCCGAGCACAGGCCCACCGCGAGACCCAACCCCTGGCCTCGGCGACCCCACGGCACCTGCAACACCCCGCCCCCGCCTCTCCAGGCCAGGGGCTCGGCGGCCGCGCGGCGGCCAGCCCCTGTGTCAGAGGGCCCTGCCTCTGAGGTCCGACGTGCCCCTCCCCGCCCGGCCTCGGCACGGCGGCGAAGGCGGCGTCGTCGGACGGGCGTCGAGCGCCGTCGTGCGCTCATCGGGAGTCGCCTGGGCGCCCTTCGCGGCGGGGCGGCGGCGTCGTCGGGCGGGCGTCCTGCGCCGTGGGTTGATCGGCGGGCACCGGCCCCTGTGCCCGTCGCAACGGCGGCACCTCTGGGCCCCCTCCTTGGGAACGCGCGGGGGCCGGCTGGGAGCGGGCGCGCAGGGCCAAAGAGGTGGCCCCGACGGCGCAGCTCGGCGACCACGGCTCTCTCTCTCTCTCTCTCTCTCTCTCCCGCACGGGGGGCCGGCACCTCACAGGGGCTCGCACAGGTGGGTGGAGATGGGCTGCCGGCCCCCCCCCGAACACGGCTCGCAACAGCCCGGGGGGGGGGCTGTCGCGGCTTGGAAGAGTCGTGGCCCCTGCGGCCGCAGGGCTTCCCGTTGGAGAGCCGCGCGCTGCAGCCGTGGCACACGCCCTGGGCGCGGGACGAGGCGGCACGGGCGGCAGAGTTGCGCAACCTCGGTGTGCGCCCCGAGGGGCGCGGCACTGGCGGCAACGTGGCGTGACCTCGGCGGACCCACCCAGCGCACGGGGCGCCCACGAGCGCCAACAAAGCGGCACGGGCAGCAAGCTCAGCATGCCCAGCCAACTACGTGACAAAACGAAGTCAGGCACCCGAAGTGCAAGCAATGTATAGGCAACAGTTAAGGACACATAAGGGCCGGGACCATTTGGGGCACATGTATGTGCATAGCCATGAACATGTCTGCATGTATGTTTCCATATTACGTACCGACACATATACAGCCACATACGTACACACACACATATATATATATAGACATACATATATATATATACACATACATACATACATACATACATACATACATACATACATACATACATACATGCATGCATGCATGCATGCAGACATACGTGCATTTACATATACAAGCCTACCTATCGACCTACCTACATATATACATCTATACATTCAAGCATACATACATGAACATTTATGTATGTATGTATGTATGTATGTATGTATGTATGTATGTGTGCCTGTATGTATGCATATATCTATGTATGTGTATATAAAGTTACATATTTATGTTCGCCCGCCAAGACCACGAATCATACCATTTGCTTTGTCTTCGAAGCTTTCCACTGTTTTCTTCTTCCGCCCTCTCCCTTCATATGCTTATATTGGAAAGCCTCATAGCAGGAACCGATTGGAAAGCAGAACAAAAGGATTCGATGGGAAAGCCTCACAACAGGAATCCTTTGGAAAGCACAAAAAGGGATTTTATTGGGAAGCCTCACAACAGGAGTCCTTTGGAAAACACTACACAACGATTCTATTGGATTGCCTCACAACAGGAATCCTTTGGAAAGCACCACAAAAGGATTCCACTGGAAAGCCTCACAACAGGAATCCTTTGGAAAGCACCACGAAAGAATCCCACCAGCCCTTTGCGTGAGTGGTAGGGGGTCCCGCGGGTCGTTGGAGGGGTCTTTTCCGACTCCTGGGTGGGCCAAAAAACGACTACCCTCACGAGGATTCTGGCCCCGACGGGGGGGCACAGTTTGGCCCCTCTGCGCTTCTTTGAAGCCAAAATCATTGATTTTACGAGGGTGTTGGCCCCATGTTGGCCTTCTGAGGGGGCCGCGCTCATCTTCCCTCATAGCAGAATCATTGATTTTACGAAGGTTTTGGGCTCAGTTTGTCCTTCTCAGGGGGCAGCTCTCATTTGCGCTTCTGAGGAGGTCGCACGAGGCCCCAAGATGGCCCCAAGAGGCACCCAGGAGGCTCCCAAGAGGCCTCCAAGAGGCTCCCCAGAGCCCCCAAGCGGCCCCAAGAGGGCCCCCAAGAGGCTCCCAAGAGGCCCCACGAGGCCCCAAGAGGCCCCCAAGAGGCCCCCAAGAGGCCTCCAAGAGGCCCCACGAAGCCCCAAGAGGCCCCCAAGAGGCCCCCAAGAGGCCCCCAAGAGGCCCCCAAGAGGCCCCACGAGGCTCCAAGAGGCCCCCAAGAGGCCCCACGAGGAGCCCGAACGAGTCACACCAGGAGGAGGGGCCCGAACGACTCACACCAGGATGAGGGGCCCGAACAACTCACACCACGAGAAGCCCGAACGACTCACACCAGGACGAAGAACCCGAACGACTCACACCACGAAGAGCCCGAACGACTCACACCAGGAAAAAGGGCCCGAACGACTCACACCAGGACGAGAAACCCCAAACGACTCAAATCACGACGAGCGCTTTCTCTCCCTCCTCCTCCGCCTCGTCCTTCTCCCGCTCCCCTCACAAGGAGGATGTACAAGGAGGCGGGAGGAAGGAGGAACACGGGAGATATGCGGGGCCAAGCGGGCACACGCCTGAAAAAACACGACTGTCGGCATGCTTCGCGAGAGTTGCTGCTGTGAGATGGGTTGGTGGGGATACGCGAAGCGTAAAGAATTCTTTTATATTGGGCAGCGCAACAAAGGGACTCGATCAGAAAGCCTCACAACAGGAACCTGTTGGAAAGCAGCACACCATATTTCTATTGAAAAGCCTCACAATAGGAATCCTTCGGAAAACTCCACACAGGGAGTTTAGTGGAAAGCCTCACAACAGGAATCTTCTGGAAAGCGCGACAAGAGGACTCTGTTTGACCGCCTCACAACAGGAACCTTTTGGGAAAACGCCACAAAAGGATTCGATTGGAAAGCGTCACAATCGGAATCCTATGGAAAGCACAAAGCAGGGAATCTATGGGAAAGCCTCATAACAGGAATCCTTTCGAGAGCGCCACAAAAGGATTTCCAGTGGAAAACCTCACAGCAGGAATCCCTTGGAAAGCACAGCAAACGGATTACATTGGGAAGCCTCACAACAGGAATCCTTTGGAACATACAACAAAAGGGATTCGATTGGAAAGCCGCACATTCGGAATCCGCTGGAAAGCACCACGAAGGGATTATATTGGAAAACCGATTGGAGAGCGGGAGAAAAACAGAGAGGAGGGGAGAGGGGGGGAGGGGGTAGTGAAAAACGTTGGTTCCCAGCTCTTCCAGCTCTTCCAGCTTTTCTCAGAGACTGCTCCATTGAAAAACGATGAATGTTCTAGCTTTTTCCCAGAGACTACCCCTTTGAAGAACGATGTGTGTTCAAGCTGCTCCAGCTCTTCAAATCTTTCCGAGACGCTACCCTGCTGTGTAGTCTCCAAAGGGGTAGTCCCTGGGGAAGCTGGAAAAGGTGGGAACCACGGCGTTTTTCAATGGGGCAGTCTCTGGGAAAAGCTGGAAAAACTGGATGACGTAAGTTTATCAATGGAGTAGTTTCTGGGAAAAGCTGGACCAGTTGGAGAAAACAGCGTTTCTGAATTAGTTACTCTCTAGAGCTGGAAAAGCTGAAAAAACACAACGTTTTTCAATGGGGTAGCCTCTGGGAAAAGCTGGAACAGCTGGAAACAACAACATGTTTGAATGGGGGAGATTATAGGAAAAGCTGGAAAAGTTTGAGAACACAGCGTTGTTCAATTTGTTACTCTCTAGGAGAAGCTGGAAAAAGCTGGAAACACACAACGTTGTTCAATGGGGTAGTCTCTGGGAAAAGCTGGAAAAACTGGAAAGCACAGCGCTTTTTAAATGGAGTAGTCTCTGGGAAAGGCAGGACAAGCTGGAAATAAAGCGTTTGTTGCTTCAAAGGGGTAATGAGAGAGAGAGAGAGAGAGCGAGGGAAAGAGAGATCGAGAGGAGGCGGAGAAGAAACCGTCGAGGATGAGGAGGAATGTGCATGATCACAGGCGGATGGTATGATACTGGGGGACCATATATATACATATAGATATATATATATATATATATATATATGTATATATGTAACTCTGTATATATGCATATGGATTTCTATATCTATATGTATGTGTATGTATATATATATATATATATATCTATATATATGTGTACATGTTTGTGTACATGTATATATGTATATGTGTATGAAGTTGTGTATGTATTTGTATGTGTGTATGTAAATGTTTACGTATGTATGTATGTATGTACGTATGTATGTATGTATATATGTGTATGTATGCATCAGTACCCCTATTCCTCTTCATCTCCCTCTCCCTCTCACTCTCCCTCCGTCCCCTCCCATCCCCTCTCCCTCCTACCGCCTTTCCCTCCGCTGCTGCTACTGCTGCTACCGATCCTATGTTTTGTTTCTCCTCCGCATGTCTCTCCGTCTCCCTCTGCTCCTCCTACTCCCCCCGGTTTTCACTCAGGGGGGATGGTTCAGAAAGGCACGAGGGGAACCCCTCCACCTTCTCGCTTATCCTCCCCCCCTCCTAGAGGCCCCCGGGGTGGCCCCTTGGGTGGCGCGGAGGGCGTGCGAAATGCACGCTGGTATTGACAGGGTCGTCCCCCTTAACGTGCGCAAGCTGGAAGGCCAACGTCGAAGGCTGTGCGCGAAATGCCCTTTCCGCACAACAGGAGATGTGGGTCGGCTCCCCGACCATAGAAGCTCTCAGGACTCTGCACAGACACGCCGCCTGAAGAACACGCTCAGCCAAAAAAGTGGAACAACGCGCGCGGCCGAGCGAAGCGGGGCCCTCCCACCCTCCTCCGCCAGGGGGCCTGTTCTCCTGGTGCCACCGAGCCAGGTCCCCATGGCCAGATGAGCGGCGCGGAGAACACCATGCCTCTGGGCAGCCACGGTGCAGGGGGCCGAAGCCCTGCTTCGATCGGCGGACTCGGCCAACCGAAGCGCTCGGCCGCGACCCACCCTGGACACCTGGGCGCCGCGCGTCGAGGCAAGGCGGGTGGAGCTGAGACAGCGTCAGCTCAGAATCGGCCCCCGGACCAGGCCCCGGACCCCCTTCTGGGGCCCAAGCGCACCAGTTCTGCCGAGCTGCGTCCAGCCGTGGCGACGAGGGCCCCCCCCCCCCGCAGGTCAGCTGCAGCTGCCTCAGCTCGCCCATCCCGTGAGCGCTCTGCGGCAACTCGTGGGGACCTCCCATACCATCTGGCTGGCGCTTGCGAGTCGACGCTAGTCGACGCTGGCCCCATCTCATGGAGTTACCAGCATCTGGTCGACGGCAATGCGCTCTGACGACGGCATTGCGAGGGTACGCATCTCTTCGGCCAGCGGCCGCAAGCGCACAGGCGGCGGTCGAGCGACGGCGGGGCGCGAGGGGTGGCGCGCGGCGCGAGGCGGCCAGGGTCGGAAGCCGGGCAAGGGCTGCTAAAATCGACCTCCGGGAAGTCGTCTTCGTCCTTCCGGGAAGAAGCCCGCGGACTGTTTCGCGCGCCGCGAAACATTCCGGGAAGCCCGTTGACTGTTTCGCGCGCCGCGAAACATTCCGGGGAGCTGCTGTTTCCTTCCGGGAGGGCCCCTTTGGCAGCCACGGCTTCAGCAGCCCTCGCCCAGCTTTCGACAGGGGGGGAGGGGGTTCAGGGAAGCGAGGAGGCCACACTCCGACCACGCAGGGCCGTCGTGCGCGCGAGGGTGCACCACTGGCCATCGCTCGGACGCCCATGTCCTGCGTTTCTGCTCGGTCTCGTGCGCGTTTTTGTTCGCCCATAATGGTCGAGGGATCAACAGCCGAACGCCCCCGATGCTTCTGGATTGTCTTCTTCTGCGCGAGCTCTGTAGCTCTCCTCAGCCCGATTTACGTGCGTAAATCGAGAGCACCTCAAGATGACTCAAACCTAGCTCGAGTATCAGCTCCTCCCTCAGGTCCTCGCCGAGAAGAAAAAAAAAAGGCACGCGCCCGAGCGGTGCCGAGGCCACGGCCCCCCGCTGGGCGTGCTGCCGGCGGAGCAGGGCCCCGGGGGGCCCGCGCCCGCGGGGGGACGGCGCGCGGCGCCGAGGTGTCCAGGCGCGGCGCCCGCGGGGGGCAGGGCGGCGGGGCAGGGCGGCGGGCAGGCCGCCCGCCGCGGGGCGCGGAGGAGGCGTGCCGCGCCGCCTCCGTCGCGAGGCCACCGCTAAGAACGAAGGGGGCGGCCTCGGGGGGGGGGGGGCGGGCGGCCGCGGGGCAGTGCGGGGGGGGGGGGGGGAGCGGGCCTGGGGGGAGCGGGCCTGCTCGGAAGGCTCCGGGAGGCCTCGGGCCTGCTCCCAGGGCTGTTCTGGGCCTTCGCCGAAGGCAGCGGCAGCCTCTCGGAGAACGCGGGGGTTTCTGAGACCACCCGCCGCCTTCTTGGAAGGCAGACGCACACACGAAACACACATTGTGGGAAAAAGCACACACACACACTGTGTTTTCCCTACAGACTATGTGTGTGTGTGTGTGTGTGTGTGTGTGTGTGTGTGTGTGTGTGTGTGTGTGTGTGTGTGTGTGTGTGTGTGTGTGTGTGTGTGTGTGTGTGTGTGTGTGTGTGTGTGTGTGTGTGTGTGTGTGTGTGTGTGTGTGTGTGTGGTGTGTGTTGTGTGTGTGTGTGTGTGTGTGTGTGTGTGTGTGTGTGTGTGTGTGTGTGTGTGTGTGTGTGTGTGTGTGTGTGTGTGTGTGTGTGTGTGTGTGTGTGTGTGTGTGTGTGTGTGTGTGTGTGTGTGTGTGTGTGTGTGTGTGTGTGTGTGTGTGTGTGTGTGTGTGTGTGTGTGTGTGTGTGTGTGTGTGTGTGTGTGTGTGTGTGTGTGTGTGTGTGTGTGTGTGTGTGTGTGTGTGTGTGTGTGTGTGTGTGTGTGTGTGTGTGTGTGTGTGTGTGTGTGTGTGTGTGTGTGTGTGTGTGTGTGTGTGTGTGTGTGTGTGTGTGTGTGTGTGTGTGTTTTGTTTGTTTTTCCCACGTGTGCGTTTTTGTGTGTGTTTTTTGTGTGTGCTCCTTCTCACTTCCCCCTGGGCGCGCCGCCGATTGGGGTGGCGTCGGTGGTCCTCAGGGCGGGCGTGCTGGCGGGCCAACGCGTGCTCGTCCACCGAAGTCCTTCCACACGACGCAGGCGAAGCAGCAAAAGGGCTGGCGTAGGCTGCGTGCTACCGGTGAGGCTGCACGGGGCAGGCACACATTGGACTAACACGCGTCCTGAGGATCATCGAGGGCAAGATGACATACCGATACCACTGCAACAGGCTCGTGTCGTGACGGCGTCTTGGCGGTGCGCACACGGGGGCAGGGGGAGGGGGTAAAGCTTCTCAGAAGGAGGCTGCTTCTCAGAAGGCTCCGGCCCCACATCTGCAGGCAAGACCCGCCTCTTCTGAGAAGCAGGGGTGCGTCTAAGAAGCCGTACTTGCTCTGCGCGTGGCTGAAACTAGGGACATCCTATTATATGGGGTCGGAGTAGATGGGGTCGGAGGGTCGCGCCGCATCGCCGATACATCGACGATGCATCGGCGATGCACTGGCGATGCATCGTCGACGTCGGATATGCATCGGCGACGTCGACGTGAAGCAAATCGGGTTCAACATCGAGCCGCATCGGCGATGCACCGCGACCCTCCGACCCCATCCACTCGTGCGTGTATTTTTCGCAAGGTGATCCAAGATGCTCATCGATGGGCCTCGCCGAACACACACACACTCACACACACACACACGCACACGCACACGCACACGCACACGCACACGCAGACGCAGACACACAGACGCACACAGGCGCACACACAGACACAGACACAGACACAGACACAGACACAGACACAGACACAGACACAGACACAGACACAGACACAGACACAGACACAGACACACACACACACACACGCACACACACGCACACACGCACACACACAGACGCACACACACGCACACACACAGACGCACACACAGAGACGCACACGCACACACACAGACACACACAGACACACACACACACACACACACACACACACGCACACGCACCCACGCACCCACGCACACACGCACACACACACACACACACACACACGAACACACGCACACACGCACACACGCACACACACGTACACACGCACACACGCACGCACGCACGCACGGACGCTCACACGCACGCACGCTCACACGCACACACACGCTCACACGCACACACGCTCACACGCACACACGCACAAGTCGGAGCGATGCCAAGGTCTGAGAGGGGCTCCAGGTGTGAGAGCGCCTCTTAGGCGGCGACGCCCGAATCCGACCCCCGCCGACCATCGATCCCCCCGAACCGAGGAGCTTCGCCACGTGCTCGACGACTTCCGAGCCCAACCCCCGCCGCCCACCGAGCTGCCCGAGTCGATCGGCGAGAGCAGGCTTCGGACCTCGCGGCCGACCCTCCCAGACCCCCGCCTGCCTCCCAGCGTTCTCGGAGGACGCCCTCCCCGACGTTCGGCGGTGGACAAACCTCGGCCTGGGACCAAAACCGACGGACCTGGACCCGCAAAGATGACGGCCGCGACGCCCTCACGCGAACCGAAAACGGCCAATTCCTCAATCGACGTGTCAGGGTAGGAGGTCTGTCCAACCCCGAGACGTGCACGCCACGCCGCCGGCCAGGGCGCTCGGTGCACAGACGCCCTCGCTCTCCCTGAGCTGCGGCGTGCGGGAGCGCCGGCGCACCGAAGTCCTGCGCCGCGCCCGCTCCCTCCCCACCCTCCACAGGAGGAGGGAGGAGGAGGAAGAGGAGGAGGAGGAGGAGGAGGAGGAGGAGGAGGAGGAGGAGGAGGAGGAGGAGGAGGAGGAGGAGGAGGAGGAGGAGGGAGGAGGAGGAGGAGGAGGAGGAGGAGGAGGAGGAGGAGGAAGGGGACGAGGAGGAGGAGGAGGAGGAGGAGGAGGAGGAGGAGGAGGAGGAGGGGCTGAAGGGCTGGGGGGAGGGGACCCTCGAGGGCCACCTCCGCGGGCTCCGGCGCCTCCCTCCCCTCTCCTTCCCCCCTCCCTCGGCACGCCGTGCTCCTCCAGGAGCCCCCTGAGGCCCCTCCTCCAATACGACGTGGAGCCTCCGACTGCGCCGCGCCCCTCCGAGAACCGAGAGCCAGCGAGGCTGGGAGGGCCTCGCGAGCTGCGCACAGGCGCCCCCCCCGGCAGCCCCAGCCGGCCTCCACGGGCCCCCCACGGGTCCCTCGAGTAGCCCGGGGGGTCTCAGCAGCCTGGCGCCGCCTCCGGCGGCGCCCCCAGGGGGCGCCCCACGCCCCGGGCGTCGAGACCGCCCTGGGCTATACTTGGGGGCAGCGGCAGCTGGGACCATACCCTGGGGGGCCTGCTGAGGCCAGCTGGGGCCACCCAGGGGAGCTGCCTGTGCGCGGCCCGAGACCTCTGGGGGGAAGCAGGGAGTGCCGGCACCGCTACTCCCCAGACCCCTGCCCTGGGTCGCGTCCTGACCAAGACTTCGAGGCGAATCCAGCCGTGACGACGGGGGCCTCCCAGAAGGCCCACAAAGGCAAGCACGAGGGAAGGGTAGCGATATCAGAAGAACAAAACACATAAACGTAAACTTTCGACGGTCCGCGCGGAGTTCTTGGATTTGCGCTAGGCCCCCCTCCCTGGTGCGCGGAGCGCGCCAGGGGCGGCGCCGGAGGCGCCGCCGGGGGGCCCGGGCGCGCATCCGAGAAATCCGCGCGGAGCGCCGAACATTTATGCTTATGTGTTTGTTCTTCTTCGAGATATCGGTAATTACCGTCTCCCCCTCTGAGCCTCATCAGGCGAGGCCCGTCCACAAGAAACCCAACCCTGAGACCCCCAGGACGCCCCCACAGAGTTTCGGTGCGGGAGCGCCGCGCCCTCGGCCGCCAGGCCATCGAAACCCGAGAAACCCGCGGGCGCCCTGGAGGCACGCAGGGCGCCTCTTGGCACGGGCCTCCTAGATGGGGTCGGAGCAGATGGGGTCGGAGGATCGCGCCGCATCGGCGATACATCAGCGACGCATCGGCGATGCATCGGCGATGCATCAACGACGTCGGCGATGCATCGGAGACGTCCGCGCGAAAGAAACCGGGCTCCGCATCGAGCCGCATCGGCGATGCATCGGCGATGCGGGGCGATCCTCCGACCCCATCTACTCCGACCCCATCTAGGAGGCCTAGACTCTTGGCACGGGCCTCCACTGCAACGGTACTCCAGATTTCGTAATAAAAGGGAGGGGGTCTGGACCCTCCAAGGCAAGCCATTTCAGACCCCCCCCGTGGGAGAACCCTCCAAAACATCGGCCCCAGACCCCCCCAGGCCCTCCAAGATAGCCTGGAAGAGACCCCCCCCGAAATGAGACCCCCCTCCCTTTTATTACGAAATCTGGAGTATCGGCACCGCCTCCTCCTCCGAGCCCCGCTGGGCGAGGCTCCGCACGCGCCGACCGTCCGGAGTTCCCTCCCCCACGGGGCGGCCTTCGCGCCGCGCGGCGCCGCGCTCCTGGGGCGCATGCCCACCCCCAGCAGGAAGCGCGGCACGGGCACGTGCCCCTTGGCGGACCTCGGGGAGCGCGCTGCCGAGCCAGCCCTTCGCCGATCCCACCTGGCCGAGCTGCCCCCCCTTGGCCGGGGAGGTGGGCTGCGCTGCCTTCGAGCCTCCTCCTCGTCCTGATCGGCCCCCTCGTCCTCCTCCTCGTCCTCGTCCTCGTCCTCCTCCTCCTCCTCCTCCTCCCTCCTCCTCCTCCTCCTCCTCCTCCTCCTGGAGGTGGGCTGCGCTGCCTTCGAGCCTCGAGGGGCCGCCTCCCCAGGGGGGGGGGGGGGGCGGTGCAGCGGCGCGGCTCGGGACGGGGATGGGAGGCACGAGGGGCCGGCGAAACGGCGCCGCGAGGCGGGCCCCGAGGGCGCCGGGCCCGGGGCTCCAGGGCCTCCCCCCAGGGACCGGCCCTGCGTCCTCCCAGACCTCCTGGCGTCGTGAAAAAATCACGACGGGAGGTTTTTCGCTATTTTCGGCCTCCGAGGGCCCTCGCCGGGCCTCGGGAGCGTCAAAAAACGACTCAGGATGCAAAGCCGGTCATGGGGAAAGGGTCGGGACCTCTGGGGGTCGACGTAATGAAAAAATCATTACGTCGGGGGTCTGGGCTCGGCCCCCCTTGTCCTGGGGGCGACGGGATCGGCACGCGTCCGCTGCCGAGGGCAGGGCCCACCCTCGGCCTTCCGGAGCGGCGCCCGTGCCTCGCTGGGCCCAGGCCAGGGGGGCGCCAGCACCGCCTCTGGACCCAGGGTGGGCCTGGCCAGCGGCGGCGGATCACTCAGTGCACCTCGCCGCCCCGTTTCTGGTGGAACCTGGGGCCCCAGACCCCCGACGTCGTGATTTTTTCGCAACGTCGACCCCCAGAGGTCTGGACCCCTTCCCCGGGACCGGTTTTTCGTCCTGAATCGTTTTTTGACGCTCCCGAGGCCCGGCGAGGGCCCCCAGAGGGCGAAAATCGCGAAAAACCTCCCGTCGTGATTTTTTCACGACGCCAGGAGGTCTGCTTCGTGGCGAAGGGCCTTGCTTCGGCAACCCGCTGCCGCAGCCCTCGGAAGCTCAGGCGGCCGGAGAGCCTCTCGCCGGGCGCCTCCGCGCGCGCCTGCGGGGCGGGGGGGAGCGCGGAGGAAGGGCGGTGGAGGAGCATGGCCGACGAGACGCTGCCACGCAAGGTCCAGTGATTACTTGCTCTCGGCGGCCTGCGAGGAAGTGCCGGGGCCAGACAGAGGAGTGGAACTGGAGGGCGAGGACACACACACACACACATACGCAGCAACGTCAGAGCCCCGAACCCTTGGGGAGCGGACGTGAGCGAAGATGTCCAAAGCATTGGGGATCATGGGGGGCCATTTCAGGAGATGTATCTCACCAAGCCACCCAGAACCATGATCCCTAGTGCAAAAGCGGGGACCTGAATGAGGCTACGTCTTCACTGTGTCATTAGGGTTAAGGGTTCGTTTACTCTCGATGAAAGGAGGAGGAGGAGGAGGAGGAGGAGGAGGAGGAGGAGGAGGCAGATGAGGCAGATGAGGAGGCAGGAAGGGAGGGAGGGAGGGGGAGAGAAAGGCAGGAAGGGAGGGAGCGAACGAATGGGGAGGAGGCCGAACCCATCTCGCCTCTACCACGCCCAGCACAGCCCGGCCAAAACAAACCGGGCCCCACTGGCACGCAGAAGCAATGCGGCCATGCATCCCATTGATTAGATGCCACTGTACATGCTCATGGGGTCTAGAGGGGGAGAAAGAGAGAGAGGGAGAGAGAGAGAGGGGGAGAGAGAGGGCGAGAGAGAGAGATGGCGAGAGAGCGCACGATCTCAGACAAGGGTCCGACCAAGCTCCCTCTGTACACTCCAGCGGTCCGCGTGGCACTTCCGACCAGCGCCGAGGCGCCTCAGGCCAGCCGAAAGGGGCCCCGCCGCCCCGAAACTCGGGGGCGCTCGCTCCTGCCGTGCCCATGGCCCTGCCCTGCGGACGCGGGCTGCGCGGCTGACAGACAGGCCGTGCGGCGGCACGGACGCCGGAGGGCGGCGTCGCATGCCTTCTGCGGACGGCCTTGGCGAATGGGCCCCGCCTCTCCGGCGCAGGAGGCGCGACCGCTTTGCCCCCACCCCCAGGAATGCCGCTCCCTCGGCGGGTGATGTCTGGGCCGTCCCTTGCGCCAGCCACGCTGGCTGGGCGGGCGGGCGGCGCGATGCCCGCTGGCGGGCGAGCGGCAGTGCTCGGCTCGGCGCAGGAGTGCCCGACTCCACTGTGGCGTTTGCCGCCGAGGAGGGCAATGGCCGTGTCAGCCGCTGCGCCTGCGTTGCCCGCTGGGCGGGCGGGCGACGCAAGTGCCCGCTCCCCCGCGAGCGGCGGGTCTCAATCTCGACGCTGCCCAGCCGCGCTGCCACACATGGCACATGATCGGGGGGACGCGGGGGCGGGGCTGAGGTGGGGTCAGAGGGGAACCGCTTTACGACCCCTGGCAGGAGAAAGTGCGAGCTTCCAGGCGGGCTCGCGCCCTGACGAAAACTTGGGACAATCCACCCCTAACATCTCCGACGTGGCCACCCACAGGCCGACCTGTTCCCCAACCGCGAGGGCCCCCTGCAGGCCAGAACCGGCCAAAAACCTCCCGTCCGCATGTTTGCCACGACGCGAGCCTGTCAGGGGGGGACGAGAAGGAACCCGTGCCGCCACTCCCCGGACCTCTCCCTGGCCGCGTTCTGACCAGACTCCCCAGGCGAATCCAGCGGTGGCGACGAGGGCATCCCAGGCGGCCCAGACGGGGCAAAGCGAGAAAAGGGCGGCGGTATGGGGACCTCATCCCCCTCGGCGACCTCTGCCACGGCGCGAGCATGTCTGGCCCCTCGGCCGCCCATGGCGCCAGCCGCCTCCGGCGCAGGCCCGTGGGCGAGCGGCGCGGTGCTCCGCCTGGCCCCGCCGGGGCGCCCGCCTCTGAGCGAGGCAGCGGCGGGGCCAGGCGACCGGCGGCGAGGTGCGCCAGCGGCGGCCGTGGGGCGGGCGGGCCGCGCGGGGCGTCGCCCTCGAGCGGCGGCACTCGGCTCGGCACTGTCGGGGCCGACAGCAGCATGCGGGACGTGGTCGCAGCGACGCGGCGGACCATCATCCCGCCCGGGTCGAAGGCGTCGAACTCGTCAACAGCACAGCCGATCGGTTCCAGGGAGGTCCCCGTCCGACGGCGTCCGACGGCCCGTCGCCCGCACGAGGGACGCCGTCGTCACAGCGACATGGTTGTCCATTGTCGTGCCCTGGCCGAAGGAGTCGTGGTCGTCGTCAGCGCACTGGTTGAGTCCAGCAGGTCCCCATCGGGAGTGCTTGTCCCTTGCCCCGCCCAGAACGAAGGCGTCGAGCTCGGCGTCAGCCTTGTCGGTCGACTCCAGCGAAGTCCCCGTCGGGAGGCTCGTCGCCCGCACGGGGGACGCCGCCGTGGTGGCATTGGTTGTCCAACCCCTGCCCTGGCCGAAAGCGTCAAGACCTGGAACAAGGAGCAGGAGGAGGAGGAGGAGGAGGAGGAGGAGGAGGAGGAGGAGGAGGAGGGGGAGGGGAGGAGGAGGAAGAAAGGGAAGGAGGGGTAGGAGGAGGAGGAGGAGAGGATCAGGAGGAGCAGGAGGAGAGGAGGATGAGGAGGAGGTCGAGGAGGAGGAGGAGGAGAGGAGGAGGAGGAGGAGGAGGCGAAGGAGGAGGAGGAGCAGAGGAGCAGGAGGAGCAGGAGGAGCAGGAGGAGAAGGAGGAGGGGGAGGAGGAGGAGGAGGAGGAGGAGGAGGAGGAGCCAGAGGAGAAGGAGGAGGAAGAGGAGGAGGAGGAGGAGCAGGAGGAGCAGGAGGAGGAACTGAGCGCGGGCAGCCTCGCCAGCGAGATCCCCCGAGAGGGGCCGGGCGCCAGGCCCGCGCAAGCTCGTGCTGGCGCAGGCCGCCCACGCGCTCGGCGCGAGCGAGGGATGAGGGCAGCGACGAGCATGCGGCAGCAAGATGGCCTCTGATTGCGAGGCGGGCACTTATCCATGTCCAGCGCCTGGGAACCGAGGTCCTGACGCCCCAGCGGGCGGTGGACATGGATACGTCTTGGCCCCCGGGGGCCCGAACATGTCCGTATCCACCGCCTGCCGAGGTCCCCGAAGGTTGATCCTCCAGGCGGTGGTCACGTATAAATTCCTGCCTCGGATCTGATGGGGCTCACAAGGGCATACTGTTACTGTGTGTCCTCCTCGGAGGCGTGCGTCCGACCCGAACATGTAGCACACAAGTCTTACAGCACAGCGTTTCCCGAGCGGTGCGGTCAGAAAGCGCCCGCCATGACGCATGTGGCAGCAGATTTCTCGGTGCGCGCGTCGCCCAAAGAGGGGGGGGGGGGGGCGACGCACACTTAGGGACACAAGACCCTTCCGAGGGTCCCATTGCCATAGGCCATAGGCATGCAGGAGGCACGGGTCGCGAGACACAGGACACAGAGGTACCCCTGATTTGGCAGGGTCCACCTGCTAACCCGGGCCGACTGCACCGCCGATCCACGGTGGCCAGGATGCCTCCAGGACGGCCGACGAGGCCCCAGGAGGGCCCGAGGCGGGCGGCAAGGCGCGACGCACAGCGCCCCGCGCGCCGCCGCGCTGGTCCCGGGCAGGCCGTGCTGAAGCGCGAGAGAGCCGCAGCTGGCACCTGCCATCGCTCGGACGTCCACTCCCCGTGCCCTGTCCGGCATCGCACGCGCGCGTTCTCGTTGGCTGTTCGCTGACCGAAGCTGCTCCCCGATGGTCCCCGCAAGTGAAGGGGCCCTGGGACACACAAGTAGATACGCACAAATAGAAGGATACCCCATGTCTTCCCATATTTTTTGGGGGGTCCTGTCTTCCCCCCCCCACTGCCCATCTTTTCCCATACTTTCGCGGGAATCGACGCTAGACTGTGGCTGTGTGTGTTTTCTCTCCTCCCGAGCGCCGGGAGAGGTCGGCAGGTCCGAGCGACGCCCAGCTGGCCATCGCTCGGACGTCCATTTCCTGCATGTTTGCTCGGTTTCGTGCGTGTTTTTGTTCGCCAAGTGGTCGAGGATGCTCCTCGAAGGTCATCGCCGAGAAAAAGTGCACGCGTCCGAGCGATGCCAAGCCAGGCGCCTGGCGCGAGCGAGCGACGAGGGCAGCCGCCGGCAGGGGAGGCGGCCGAGGGGCCGAGGCGCGCGGGCCGTCGCAGGGGCGACGGGGGACGGCACCGCCGTGGCCCCCCCCCCTCCGAGTCGCGGGGGGGGAGGCTCCCGGGGGTGAGCGGGGGGGGGGGGCGACGAGGGCCGCGACGAGGGGGGGTGGGGCGGGGGGAGGGGGATGGGGGGGAGATGGCAGGGGCCGAGGAGCGGGGGCGGGGGAGGGAGGCCCCCCCTCCCCAGGAGGGGGGGGGGGCGGGGGGGAGGAGCGCGCAGAGGGGGAGAGGGGGAGAGGAGCCTGCGCCAGTTCCCGGGCAAGGGGCCCGGGAGGGAGGGAGGAGGACAACGGGACCCCCCGCCCCGAGGGAGAGGTGGATTCCCACCCGCCCTGCGTTCCTTCCCCTCCTCCCCTCCCGCCCCCATTCTCGCCCTCTCTTTCGTCCCTCCGCCCCGCCTTCCCTTCGTCGTCGAAGCGTCCCGCCTCCTCCACCACCTCCTTCTCGTCTTCCTGTCCTGCCCTTGCCCGTATTCTTCAACCCCTCTCCACCAGATAGGACACGGAAGGACGGTCATGGACGAGGAAAATGAGAGAGAGAGAGAGAGAGAGAGGACGAGGACGGTTCCGCACTCAACGGACGCGAGGGCAAGACGGCCATGGACGAGGACAGAGGACGAGGACGGTTCCGCACTCAACGGGCGGGCCCACTTGATGTGTGCAGGGATGAGGGAGACGACGATGGGGACGAAGACGATGACGAAGACTGCACAGAACAAAACGAAAAAACAGGGCGGCCGCGGGAACGGCGACGATCACCGACGTCTCTTCCCCGCCGCTGGGCGCGGAGGCCCCCCTTCAGAGGCCCAGCGCGGCCCAAGACGCCCCAAACCTCGACCCTCGAACCTCGGAACCTCGAACCTCGGAACCTCGAACCTCGGAACCTCGAACCTCGGAGCCCCAAACCTCGAACCCTCAAGCCTCGGAACCCCGAACCTCGACCCTCGACCCTCGAACCTCGACCCTCGAACCTCGACGACGAACCTCGACCCTCGAACCTCGGCGGAGGCGGCAACGCTGCCGGCAGCGGCGCCGACGAGGGCCTCCTTCGAGCTGTTCGCGCCCGCGTCGGCCCGCGCTGCCTCTGGCCCTACAGTCTTTGAGACCGAGCAGCCGTGGGAGCAGTGCTCCTCCTCCTCGGGGCCCTGGCGGCGCGACGGTGACAGAGGGATGAAGAGGGGGAAGGGAGGAAGAGGGGGAAGGGAGGAAGGGGGGGGGGGGGGGGAGGGGGGGAGGAGGAGGAGGAGGAGAGGAGGAGGAGGAGGCGGAGGAGGAGGAGGAGGAGGAGGAGGAGGAGGAGGAGGAGGAGGAGGACCAGTGCAAATCCAAGAGTCATCAACGATGTTGGAATACACCCTCCCACCAAGCTCCCTTTTCATAGGCCCCATGTAACGGCTCATTTCCTCTGGGGAAACTGCGTCGTTGTAAGACAACCGTTTGAAGATCCTGAAGCATGCCAAAGCATTGTTTCGGGATTCCCACGCAACGGGTCAACCTGACTGTTGCGTCTCGACAATCCTGAACCGTGCCAGGACGCCGTTCCTGGGACTTCAACACCGCTAGCGAACGTAACTGCTGCACCCCCATAATCCTGAATCCGTCCAAAACATCATTTCTGGTACGTTGCTCATGGGAATACGTGAAACTCTTGCACCGTGTTTTATATATCAAACCGAATGTGCGCGGCGCTGAGGCGAGAACCACATTTTGAAACGGAGCCGCCATCATTCCGCGAAGCTCTCGCAAATGTTGGAAACGAATGCACGCGGCGCTAAGGCGAGAGCCATATTTCGTAAACGGTTAGCCCCCAACAACTCTTGCAAGTGTAAGACACGAATGGGCGCGGCGCTGAGGCGAGAGCTACATTTTGAAAACGACCCGCCCTCCACCTGTGAAGCTGCTGCCACGTCTTAAGCTTCAGGGTCAGAATTGGTGAGGAAGTGTCAAGTGAAAGGCCGCCCCGCCCTAACGACTGGCCTCCGTGTGAGACAGGGGAAAACGGCTTATACGGAAAAGGAATGGAGGAGGGGAGGGGCAAGGGCGATGAGGAGTAGGGAGACGGCGGCGGGGGGAGGAGGGAGGCGGTAGGAGAAAGGCGAGGGAACGAGGCGGAGGGGGGAGGAGGCGGATAGGGGGACGGACGGAGCAGCACCGAGTCTAAAGAGGACGGGGAAGAAAGGGGAACACGGGGAGGAAGGTGGAAGAGGAGGAAGAGAAGGAGGAGGAGGAGGAAAAGGAGGAGCAGCAGCAAGCGGAATCTGTATGTATGTCTGTCTGTCAGTCAGTCAGTCTGTCAGTCTGTCTGTCCGTCAATCTGTCAGGTTGCCCGTCAGTCTGTCAGTCTGTCAGTCAGGCATCCCGTTTCCAAATCCCGATCCTGCCGCCTCTGCGCCCCTCTCAGACTCGCTGGCCATGAACCAATCGCCCGTCTGCCTCTCCCACAAACTCAACGGCCCCACTGGATCATCGGCCAACAGATGTCTACGGGGATCCCCGATTATCGTCAGCGATGAGCTCGCAAGCTGGGCAGTCGGACGACCGTGGCCGCATGATCGCGCCGCCCGCCCTGCCTCTGCCGGCGTAGCACCTGCCCCGGAGTATAGGGTAGCGCATGCGATGCTAGGCATAGTCAACAAAGGAGCGAGTGACGCCACATAGTACGTCAGGTTCGTGTCGTGACGACCCCGGCGTTGGTTCCTGACACCGCGCTGGATCGTTCAACCTTGAACGATCGGCCGTCTCCGCAACGTCCGATCGTTCAACATCGACCGATTCTGGGCCGCCGTCGGCGTTCAACGTTGAACGTCGGCGGCGGGGTCGCCGCCGGTCGACACGACGCGAACCTACCGTACACATGGACTGGAGTCACGACGCATTATTCCTGGGAGCCGCCTGCCGGGCGCGCCACCCTTGACCATGAGGTAGCGTGCTACTGGTTGCTTTTCCTCCCCTGAACCCTTCGCCGCACGTGTCCCCGTCGTCCCTGATAGCCGCGCACCGCCCCCCCCCACTGTCCAGCGCCTCCTGCTTGTGCCCGTGCAGTGCGACGTTCAAAAGGCATTGGGCCCTGGCCCCTTCCTCATCCAGTTGAATGAACCCTCCCTCTCCTTCGAATAATACGACATCAAGCCCATGGAATCCGAGGCACCTCGCGCTGTCACCGAATAGCTCGATCACTCGGATGCCGTCGTCGAACTGCTCGCGCCGCAGGTTCGCCCCCCCCCCCCCCGTCGTCGCTCAGATATCCGTGCATCTCTGCGTGTCCGTCGCCCCAGAGTCGCCCGACAACCGCGCGCAGAAGCCGGGCGCACCGCGCGCGACTCTGAAGACGAGCCTGAAGACAGGCCCGAGGCCACCCGAGCCGTCGAACCCCTCACCTTGACGCGCGGGGATGCGAGGCGCATCTCTGCGGGGGCCTGCAGGCTGGAGCGAGCGCGCGCTGCGCCGCCCTCCGGATGCCGGGGCGCACCCTGCGAGGGCACTTCTACGTGCACGCGCTGCGAGGACATCTGCGATGGGTCACCGGCCCTGAGCTCGAGGTGGGCCCGAAGTGGCGCACATGGTTTCGGCCCGGCTGCGGCGAGCGTTGGCTACGTGGCCTTTCAAGTCGTGGATCTTCCAACCAAACAGAAGAATTGCTGCCCCAAAATCTACGAACAACTTGCGCCAAAGCGCTCTCCCCGCAAGTTGTCGACATTCGATCTCGCAGGGGGGCAAGCCTGGCATGAAGCCGCGCCCCCAAGTATCTCGCACACACGCTCGTCTTTCCACCCAGGCATTGTTCACGTAGAAAGTTGGCCTCCACGTGTACTGAGCTACGACCACGTAAAACAGAGTGCTGTCACGCTTGCAGACAATGTGTGCCATGGCGGTCTCTGCCATGCGTCCAGGAGCCGCTCCATGTTGAAAAGTCCCCGCTGTCTCGGTCAATTGTGTTGTCATCTTCCACATCGAAGATGTCGGACCCGTCATCGAATAAGGGGGGTGACAACGGCACCTGCCCGTGCCCCGGGCCGTGGGCACAAACCTGGCCTACTTGTGAGCTGACGCTCACAGAACCCGTGCCAATGTGCCTCGAGTGGGCTCCCGCAAGCAACCTTACCGTGGCTGGGCCCCTGGTTGGACGGCCCTGCTGGAAGACAGCCCTGCTGGTCGCCCCGCTGGTCATGCCCCCAAGCACGGTGAAGCAAGCAGCTGCCACACGAAATATTGGGGCTCGCCAACCCTTCCCTCGGAACAGATCCTCGGCCGCGGCCCAGAAGCTGTCGCGATGGATGCTGCAGAATTCTTGGCGGCGTCGTGCAAGCGCTTGACGTCAAATGGGCCGTTTCCCGTCGTTCTCCTCCATGAGAGAACCTGTTTGTTGGCTCCGTCGTGGCAGACAACAGTATACCCAACATTCAACTTCTAGTTTAGATCCTCTCACCCAGCACTTTCTGTAGTAGGCCTTCGCGATGGTGCAGGCCAATATGATGAGCCGCTCGACGTCGACGCCCTCCTTCTGGTTGCCAGTGCCTATCTTGCAGGTGTCCGGGTACCTTTTTCATAATAGACCATAACACGGGATAAACTGCGTTGGCGGAGTGATCTCCTCGTAGCCCACCCCATGTGTGTTGCGTTGCTTCCGTTGGTTGATCCACTTTGGGAAACATGCAAGATGAAGAGGAGGGTGAGGACGAGGAGGATAATTAAGGACGGGGAGGGGAAGGACAAGGCGAATGCACAGGAAGAGGATGTGGTGGATGGGGCGGAGGAGCAAAATGAAGGGGAGGAGCGGAATGACAAGGACGAAAAGAAACACGAGAAGAGGGAGGAGCAATGGGGAATACATGAAGAGGATGGGGCGAAGGGAGGAGGATGAGGGAGGAAGAGGAAGGAGGAGGAGCAGGAACCCAGGCAGAGGAGGTGGTGAGATGGGGGCGACGCTTACGAACCACGACGACGCCGACCCACGACGCCCAACTCTGCGCTCCAGCGAAGCGCTCGCGCCTCTCCCGCGCCCCGGAGAGAAGGCCAGACCTTGCCTGGCCAAGGCCGTGAGGCCGCGCGGCCGGCCCGCCCCCCCCCCTGGGGCCGCGAGGCCGCTCGACCGCCTCGGGATGCAGGCGGGGCGCCGAGGAGCACGAGCCTCGAGGCGCCGAGGAGCCTCGAGGAGGCTCTCGAGGAGGACCGAGGGGGGGGGGGAGGCTCGAGGAGCGTGGGGATCGAGGGCGAGGAGGAGCGAGGAGGGGCGAGGAGGAGGAGGGGAGGAGGAGGAGGAGGAAGGAGGAGGGAGGAGGAGGGAGGAGGAGGAGGGAAGGCTCGAGGCTCGAGGCCGAGGCGGCGCGGCCGGCAACGCCGCCGCCGCGAACCGAGCAGGGCGAGCGCCGGCGCGCGGCGGCGCGCACGTCAGGCGCGAGGCGCCGACCGCCTGCAATGGGGGCCCTCGGGCTCGGGGCATCTGGGGCCCGAGCGGGAGGAGGATGAGGAGGGAGGAGGGAGGAGGAGGAGGAGGAGGAGGAGGGAGGAGGAGGAGGAGGAGGGAGGAGGAGGAGGAGGGGAGGAGGAGGAGGAGGAGGAGGAGGGGAGGAGGAGGAGGCGGGGAGGGGCTCGAGGAGGGGGGGCTCGAGGAGGGGCTCGAGGAGGAGGAGGAGGAGGGAGGAGGAGGAGGAGGGAGGAGGACGGAGGAGGAGAGGAGGAGGAGGAGGAGGAGGAGGAGGAGGAAGAGGAGGTAGGGGGGAGGAGGAGGAGCAGCATGAGGACCGCCAAGGAACGGGAATCAGGGGGAGGACGACAACGACCGTTCCTCGGACTGGAGGCCGGGGAACCCTCCGAATCTGGCCGCGACGGCGGGCACGACCCGCCGCTATCCCCCCCCCCCTGCCTCTTCCTTCCTCCTCCTCTTCGCTGAATCCCAATCCCCTCCCCGCTCCCCTCCCCTCAACTCCCTGCCCCCCCCCCCCCCCCCCCCCCATGCCTACCACCCCTGACCAAACCCCTTGTGCCTCCCCCCCATGCCTCCCTCTCTTGCTTCCACCTTTTTCCCCCTCTTTCTCCCCCTTTCTCCTCCTCCTCCTCGTCCTTCACCTCTCTTTCTCCTCCTCCTCCTATTCCTCCCCCTCCTCCCTCGTCCTCCTCCTCCTCCTCCTCCTCCTCCTCCTCCTCCTCCTCCTCCTCCTCCTCCTCCTCCTCCTACTCCTCGTCCTCCTCCGCCGCCCGCCCGCCCGCCCGCCCGCGCGCCCCCCGACCTCTCCTGGCTCCCGAGATGCGCCCCGGCCAGAATCTCAAGTGGACCCCGGCCGAAGCGACGAGGAGGCCGCAGGAGGCACAAAAGGGCGACAACAAGGCCCCTCCCCCCCAAAAAATCGAATCTCAAAGTTCGATCCTCCCTCCACTACACCCCATGGGCCGCAGAGGAGGAGGAGGAGGATATGTCAAGTTCACTTGAATGCTTGGTGGGCACCATTCCACTCTCGAGGTGGCGAGGAGAAGAGTTGGCCTCCTCCTCCTCCTCCTCCTCCTCCTCCTCCCCCTCATCCACCACCTCCTCCTCCTCCTCGATCCCCCCCGATCAAAGCTCGACCCTCCTAGATGGTGCTCCGGGCCCTGGTTCCCGATCCTCGCCCGTGCTCCTCCGTGCTTCTCCTCGATCCTCCTCGATCCTCCTCCTCGACCTTCCGCCCCCGGTCCCCACCATCCTCGATCCTCCTCCTCGATTCTTCCTCCTCGATCTTCCTCCTCCTCGATCTTCCTCCTCGATCTTCCTCCTCGAGGCACGACCCCGCAGAGCCCGGCCCCTCCCCAGGCGGCCTCCTCCGAGTCCGACGCCTCCGTGCCCGAGTCCAGCGGGGCCCGATGGCGCACCCGCAGAATCCTCCAGGGCGGACGAGGGGGCGATGTAAGGCAAACGCTGCCCACCGCCATCGAGGAGGAGGGAGGGAGGGAGGGAGGAAAGGGAGGAAAGGGAGGAAAGGGAGGGAGGAACGGGAGGAAAGGGAGGAAGGCAAACGCTGCCCACCGCCATCGAGGAGGAGGGAGGGAGGAAAGGGAGGAAAGGGAGGAGTCGGATTCGGAGTTGGAGCGACTGCTCTTCACATGCTACAGCGCCACCCCGGACCTCCACGAGCCTCGCGGCCACGTAGTTGAGCGACGTCCGCGCCTGGCGGCGGAGGCCGAAGTCCACAGAACAGGAAGATGCCGTGGATGAGTACCTCCAGCGTGAATCGGTGCACGATGCTCGCTGCCTCTAGGCCACGCCACCAAGCACGGAGACCATACTGAACACCACGACGGGGAAGGGTGAGACAACGAAGAATGCACCGCCTGTCGAGGCAGGCCGCCATACTCTCCCCATAGTACCGCCTCTTTAGTCCCACACACCTGAGCTGCATGCACGCGCCGCCTCCCACAAACTCCGCAAGTAAGGTGCGCCCAAGGGGGGACTGCTCAGTGCCGGGGCCGTGCCCTTCTGGAACATCACCTCCCAGTGGGACAGATGCGGATCAATATGCTCAGGAAACCACCATGATCCAAAACGGCTGACAACCTTGTGTGTGCAACGCGACACCTGCCGAGAAACACCACTGAAAGCCGACAGCGTCCTAGTGCGCTGATGCGCTGAAGACTGAAAAAGTGCAGCACCGCAGAAATGTGTAGTTTCCGACACTGTTGTCAACGATAGCTGTGGAGAAAGGACACAATTACACACCACTTGAAACCAGTTGATGACGAAGAGGGGCCCTCAGCCGCACGCCGTACTGCGCAAACTCTACAACCACAATAACATCGGAAAGACTTGAGTTATGTCGGGCGTGTCCCCCTATAGAAAGAAATTCGACGGAAAATAAAACATACCCCCCCAAAAATGAAACACATCAAAAAATAGCCTGGGGACTATTTGTTCAACAGTTTTGGGCCTTTTGGGGGGTATTTGTGGGGTATTTTTCATTTTTCGTCGAAGATCCCCCTGTAGGGGGACACGCCCGACTTAAGGTTTGAGCCAGCTCTGCACTGTGTCCAGCGTGGCCAACGCGATCTGCAACACACGAAGGCAAAACGTGGTGACGACGCGGTGCCCAAGAGGCTCCCAGAAGCGGAGCCCCCGGAGGCCCCTCATACTCTTCGTCCTCCCTCTCCTCCCTCTATCCTCCTCCTCCTCCTCCTCCTCCTCCTCCTCCTCCTCCTCCTCTCCTCTTCCTCTCTTCATCCGCCTCCTCCTCCTCCTCCTATCCTCCTCCTCCTCCTCCCCTCTCCCTCCTCCCCTCTCCTCCTCCTCCTCCTCCTCCTCCTCCTCCTCCTCCTCCTCCTCCTCCTCCTCCTCCTCCTCCTCCTCCTCCTCCTCCCAGGCGCCCCGCTGCGGCACTGGACGCGACTCGGGGAAGCCGCGCTGGCCGAGCAAAATGCCACGGACGAGCCTCGGGCCGGTGCTCGAGCGAGCGGGCAGGAGGAGGACGAGCAGGAGGAGGAGCGAGAGGGAGGAGGAGGACTGGACTGGACTGGACGGCCACCCGAAGTGCCGACGTCGCCCCGACGGTCCAGGGCATCACCGAGGTGCTCGTCACAGGAGCAGGTCGGGGACCCGAAGCACGGCCCCGCGGCGTAAGCCCCGCGGCACGGCGCGCGATTGCACACGGCACGAGCCCGGCGGGCGGGCCGCAGGGCGCATAGGGCGGCGCCCGCGGAGGCGTCGCGGCTCCAGGCTCGCCCAGGCGGGCTCCGACGCGCGGGGAGCCCACGGGGAGCACTCGCAGGCTGCCTGTCTGCCACCTGTGGAAGAGGCCAGGGGGCATGCTCCGGAGAGGCCTCGCCGGAACGCGGGTCGGAGACCTCCACCGGAGGCGAGGAAGCGGGGCGACAGGGGGAGGAGGGGAGAAAGACAGCAACGCTGTTTAGGGCAGATCATACTTCGACTGGTGCAATGTTGTCTTGGCCTCTGCGAAGGCCCGTGCGCTGGCTGAGAACACCTTGTGCACAGGACTGTGGGGCATAATATTTCGAGACGCTAGATACACGTTTCAAATGCGGGCCTCACTCATTTCTCCTGCTCGTCCAGAAGATCCTCCACCCAAGCCTGCAACTCCCGCTCCATGAACGTCGGCGGTGTTTTCCCATGTTTGCGGCGCACGTCCGGAACCTGCATCAGACCCCCCACGATGATGAGACGGAACTTGGCATCCCGAAGCGACATGGTCAGCTGCTTGGTCTCCCTCTGGTAGGTTTTGTCGATTTTGCAAAGCATGATCAGCTCGCATTTCTGGTCGATGGTCCAGGTCTCCATGCCCGAATTTGACGTGGCTAGGTCCTGGGCGGTCCTGGCTCCGATGCTCTCCCCCTTCTCCTTCAGCGCCTTGAGAACTCCCCCCATCGCCCAGATGTGGGGCGGCCCTACCTTGTCCGCCTGACCCTTCACCCTCACTGCCTCCGCATATTGGGAAGTCTGCTCCTGGCCTCGCGTCCCCGATGGTGGAAAAGCCTACGCCATCGAGGAGGATCCAGGAGGAGGAGCGAGGAGCGGGCAGGATCGACGAGGAGCAGGACAGCGGAGGAGGATGATCGAAGAAGATCGAGGAGGAGAAGGAGGAGCGACGCACATCGAGGAGGCTCGGGGAGGACGACGATCGAAGAGGAGGATGGCGGCCAGGCTCGCGTGTGCCATGCCGGCGTCGTCATCGTCGTTGTCGGCGGCTTTGCCGTCGACGGCGCCGTCGCCGTCGCCATCGCCGTCGTGGTCGTGGTCGTGGTCGTGGTCGTGGTGGTCGTGGTCGTGGTCGTCGCCGTAGTCGTCGTCGTCGTCGTCGTCGTCGTCGTCGTCGTCGTCGTCGTCGTCGTCGTCGTCGTCGTCGTCGTCGTCGTCGTCGTCGTCGTCGTCGACGTCGCCGCCCGATCCTCGCCGCTAGTGCCCCAGAGCCCTGGAGCCCCTGCGCGTGATCCGCGGGGGCGCCGCGCACTGCCGCCCACGGCGCGCCACCTGGCGGCGAACGCCGCCGCCGCCGCCGATGCCGAGGGCCGCGCCGCCGAAGGCAGAGACGCCGCCGCCGCCGCCGCCGCCGCCGTCGATGGCAAAGCCGCCGACAAACACGGCGACGACGCCGACGGACGCGGCGGCGGCGGAAGCGGCGAGGGGAGGGGCGGGGAGGGGGGGAAGGGGAAGGGAGTGACGGGGGGAGGAGGGAGGGATGGGGGGGAGAGGGGGGGCCGGGGGGAGAGAGGAGCAAGGAGGGAGACCAGAGGAGCAACGAGTGAGGGGGGAGGGGAAATAACTAGGGAGGGCGCGGGAGGGATGCAAAGGGTGAGGAGCGTCTGCTGTGGCGGCGCCGCTCTCGAAAGGCCTGCGAGAGCCTGGCCCCCTCCGCCGAACACGTTCGCCAGAACGGCTGGGCGGGGGCGAGCGCGCACGGCACGACCGGCGCGCGCCGAACGCACACACGACACGTGCGACGCTGGCGGCCCCTTACTGCCCTGGACGCCCGTCTCTTGGCCTGGTGAGCCTTAGCAGAACTCCGCGCGGACTTCTTGGATCGACGCTGGGACCCGCGCCAGGGGCGGCGCTGGGGGCGCCGCCGGGTGTTCCGGCGCAGATCCAAGAAATCCGCGCGGAACGCCGAACACAGATGTGAAGGCAGCATGTTCTTGTTCGAATTCCTTGGCCTGGTCAACGTTTTTACAGGACGCGTCGGACACCGACTGGGCGGGCCGCTGCGCGCAATGGCCTATAGGGCCACAAACCCCCCAACTGACGGGAAGGGGGCTCCACTGCGCTCGTTCGGCCTCGCCGCCTTCAGCGAGAGGGTGCAGCCAACTAGAGAAAAGGGCGTTGAATATGAGATGCGCGGGACTGCTTTGATAGCGGATGTAAAGCGGATGCGTCTAAGAGCGAGACTGACAGCGGGCGCTGTGCCTGCCCAGGCTACAAGCGGCAGCGGCAGGCAGGGGTGAGAAGAGGCAATAAGGATCCCGTTCGAGTCTGGTGCTCAAGCAAGAATCGGAGCGCCTTCGTTTTGCTTGGTTAGCTGCAAAGAAGGTGCTCTTCTGACCGCACCTTCATAAAACAAATGCCTGCTGTAAGGAGTGATATACCGTAGCACCCCGCAGATGCGGATAAGGGTGAGGGGGCGGTGGGGACGTCGGCAAATCCCACCAGCCCTCTGGGCTTAGGTGGTATAACGCGTTTTTTGTTCTTCTCTCTACCCCTCCCCCTACCCCCTCCCCTGGGCCTGGGAGGGGGGGGGACGGAGACGCCGCAGCGTCCAAAATGGCCCAAAAAGGCACCAAGAGGGCCTCAAAGTCGCAAGATGGCCTCCAAGAGGGCCCATGCTACTTCAAGATGGGTCAATACAGCCTCCGACATACCCCCAAGAGGCCCCAAGAGGCCCCAAGGCGGATCCAAGTGCCCTCCGAGCCCTCTACGGCGCCCTCCAAGATGCCACAACCCTTCAAAAGCCTAGGGAAATCAATGTTTTTGGCATTATCGCCTTTTTGGAAGCCTCAAGATGGCCCCAAGATGGCCCAAAAGAGGCCCAAGAGGGGCCCAAGAAGGCCGAAGACGGCCCCAAGATCGCCCAAGAGGCGCCCAAGAGCGCTCCAAGAGGGCCCCAAGATGCCGTTTGAGAGCCTCCGAGGGGGCGATGCTAATTGAGGGACCTCCTCTTTTTGAGCCATGGGGCCCAAGATGACCCCAAGAGGCCTCCCAGCCTCTCCCCAAAGACCCTCCACCCCGCTCTGATTGGCCCAGTATGGCTCCACGACAGCCCTAGATAGGCAAGTATGGTTTTCAAAATGGCCTAAGATAGACAAGCATGACTCAAGATAACCTCCGATTGACCTCCAACTGGGTAGTCGAAACCAATCTGGCGGCAATCTGGCAGGCCCAATCTGGCAAACGGGGGCAATCTGGCGAGGGAGCCAACGCGAATCCAGTCTGGCGAATAACCCAAATCATCCAGTTTGGCCGGGCCAGATTGGCCCTTGGGGCCCAATCCAATCTGACAGTTTGGCCTTCGACTGCCCAGTCCAACAGGCCTCAAGGCAGCCTCAAGATGGCCCAAGATAGCCGAACATGGCTCAATATAGCCTCCGACAGCCTCTAGCCGAGCATGGCTCAAGATAGCTTCCAAGAGGCCTCACGAAAACTGGCAATCAATTGTGGATGGGCTGGTGGGGATATTTTTTTTGGTCGCGGCCACGGGCCAAGGGTCACGCGGCGAAAGCAAAGTCCGGGGCACGAACGAGGCTAATTAGCTACAACAGGCACAGGCCGGCCAGGCCCGCTCACAAAGCAGCCGCGAAGCTGAAGGGGAACTGACGGCAGGGGTGTCCTGAGAGCTCGAGCGCGCGCACAGACAAAATGTCGTGGAATTCGGTGCCTGCCACAGTACGAGACGTGAACCAGAATAACCAACTCCGTCAATCTAAATGGGGGCAAGTGCGAGGCCGGTGGAGTGAGTCGCCGGTGGGGCGCCAAGCTCCAAACGCCCGACGTGTGCTAGCGATGGGGGGGTGAGCTGTCGCGGAACGTGGTGCAACGCAACCTGCCGGAAGCTGGTGGTGAGCCTGGGGTGCTGTAGCTGCTGCGGAAGGCTGAACAACTCCGTAGCGAAGCGTCGAGAGTTGCGAGACTCTGGAGAAGCCCGCCGCAGGCGCCAAAATTTTGCAAATTATGCAACGAACCCGCCGCAGGCGCCGATTCTTTCGCGGGTGGGTCGCAAATGGGTCGCGGGTGGGTGGAGGGTGGATCGTTGTTGGGTCGCAGGTGTAATTAGAGTGCAGAATATTCATCCCATAAGAATCACCCCTGCAAGCGAAGCCGTTTAGTAAACGCAGTGAATATGGGTCAGAATGAGCTGAGTATGATTGAATATGAGCCTATTCCACTTCAGTCCCCCTCCTCACCTGCCAGGCCGTGCCCTCCTCAGCCTGTGGTAACTTCGGAGCTTCCCATATGCGCAAATGTTTTTAGGATAGTTGGCAATGGGATCTGTAAAACGAACGTTGAGCCACATGAAGACATACGTGCATGCCATGTTGTAAAAGCACTTGTCCATGACAGTCGTTTGCTCCACGGGCGCGTCCATGTGAGCGGCGAGCCCACGTGCATGCATTCATTCACACGCATATGCCCGCGCATTTTTTTACCAAAGCAAAGAATTCCCTTGGAGGTGTTGAAACCAACGCCCCGTCTGGGACATCCTCACAAAACTGCTTTTCACGCAAACGAGTCGGCCCACCAAAACAAACAAACCGCCTGAGACATCCCCACAAACTGGCCGCGAACGGGACCGTGAAAACACCCCTGGCGGCTCCCCTTAGGGGTGCAGAAACCAGCGCCCCGCCTGAGACATCCTCACACATTGCTTCGAACGCAAACGAGTCCGCCCACCAAATCAACCAAACCGCCTGAGACATCCCCGCAAACTGGCCGCGAACGGATCCGTGAAAACACCCCGGGCGGCTCCCCATTAGGGGTGCTGAAATCAGCGCCCCGCCTGAGACATCCTCAAAAACTGCTCTAGACGCAAATGAATCCGCCCACCAAAACAGCCAAACCGCCTGAGACATCCCCACAAACTTGCCGCGAACGAGCCCGTGAAAACACCCTGGCGGCTCCCCTTAGGGGTGCAGAAACCAGCGCCCCGCCTGAGACATCCTCACAAACTGCTGTAAAGGCAAACGAATCTGCCCACCAAAACAGCCAAACCGCCTGACATCCCCACAGACTGGCCGCGAACGGTCCCATGATATACCCCCTGGCGGCTCCCCTCAGGAGTGCTGAGACCAACGCCCCGACGGAGACATCCTCCAAATCTGCTGTAGACGCAGACGATGTTGGGCACCGAAACAGGCAAACCGCCTGAGACATCCCCACAAACTGGCCGCGAACGGGCCCGTGATATACCCCCTGGCGGCTCCCCTTAGGGGTGCTGAAACACCAGCGCCCCGACGGAGACATCCTCCAAGTCTGCTGTAGACGCAGACGATGTTGGGTGCAACAACTGGCAAACCGGCTGAGACTTCCCCACAAACCCGCTGCGAACGGGCCCGTGATATACCCCCTGGCGGCTCCCCTTAGGAGTGTTGAAACCAGCGCCCCGACTGTGACATCGTCCAAATGTGCTGTAGGATGCCTTACAACATCTCCACTTGCGAGCGACAGGCCCCCCGGGGCCCCAAAAATCACGGAAACCCGCAATCTTAAACAACGACAGCATTTACCATGTTTTTCGACTCAAACGGCTTGAGAATGTGCTCCAAATCCTCTTGTTTCTGCAATCTCCTCTGTGCGTCCCATAGGGTACGCGCCGGAGCACGACCCAAAGGAGCAGCGCGCCTCATCTCCTTCCTCCGTGCGTCCCAGAGGGTACGTGACGGAGCACGACCCGAGGGACCAGAACGCATCCTCCCTCATCTCCTTCCTCCGTGCGTCCCAGAGGGTACGTGCCGGAGCACGACCCAAGGGAGCAGCACGCCTCATCTCCTTCCTCTGTGCGTCCCAGAGGGTACGTGCCGGAACACGACCCAAGGAACCAGCACGCCTCGACTCCTTCCGTGCGTCCCAAGGGGTACGTGCTGGAGCACGACCCAAGGGACCAGCACGCCTCGACTCCTTCCTCCGTGCGTCCCAGAGGGTACGCGCCGGAGCACGACCCAATGGACCAGCACGCCTCGACTCATTCCTCCGTGCGTCCCAGGAGGGTACGTGGCGGAACACGACCCAAGGGAGCAGCACGCCTCATCTCCTTGCTCGCAGCATGAAAACGAGCAAACCGCCTGAAACATCCCCGCAAAATGGCCGCGAACGGGCCCGCGTCCTACCCCCCACGCAACCTGCGTTTCCTGCGCGTTGTTGCGAAAACTGGGGCCCAACTTGTGGCGACGAGGGCCGATGTGACGACGAGGAGCAGCGGCGGAAGGGGACCAAGGTGCGACCGGCCAGCCAACACTGCAGAAACACACAGACACAAAGACGACCAG